CTTTTTTTAATTACCGCTAAAATAAGTGTTATTGTTATTCATTTTTTGTTAGCAAGTGCAGCCCAGGTGAGAAAAGTTAATGCAAAATTAATGTAACGTAAAATAATAAAATAGTCACTTTTAAAGGGAGGAAATTAATGCAATATTGTAATGCATTACTTTTAAAAGTAACTTCCCCAACACTTCATGTAGTTCTAATGTTGAGAACTAATGCAGTAAGCCTGACAAAAACCCATATTAAGTAAGTCAATGCTGCACCTTGAAGCTGAGGAGTTCTTGTTTTGTAAAGCCATGGCTGTAGATGATCTTCATCTGTTTGATTAATGTGCTTTTGCCACTCTCTGGAGTACCTATATGTTTGGAATAAAATATTGCACAGCAGTATTAAATAGGAGAATTAATAGTCTCTATTGCAGAAATTAGACATTAAACTACAAATACAATGCTAGACTTCAATGGTGTTTTACATTCAGGAATTCGATAAATAAACAGAGTTATTATTATAGATTTATTTTCCACCATGTTTCTATGGCAAAATAAGAACAGTGTAGAACTCTCAACTCAAGAGTTACCCAGTATGAGGACTCTGTGCACGTGCGTCTCACGCTCAATTCGAGCATGCTGCTGATTGCAGGATCTTTTCTCTTCATTTCGCAGATTCACGCACGTCTGCACAGCCGCGATACATGCCTCCACGGGATCAAACGACAACATTATATGAATTAACTACTTCTCAAGTCAGCATTATCTTTTTAAGTACACATTTATATTTAACTTACCTGCAGAGATGTTAAAACGTCAAAACATCGAAACATTTCTAAAACTATATATAGGCTAGTTAAAATCGTATTTAAAACGCGCAATATTTGCGGTAGCCCTCGTTCAATATGCACCTGTTCAATATGCGGTTCGAGGACGTGACGTCATAGGACATAATAGGGACTTTATAATTAAATGTGCCCTCTAATTGGCGACGCAAGACCTTACAATAAAACAATTAACAGAGTGCATTGCTTTAAAAAATAATAATAAACAGTCCTAGAATTTGCTTCCTTTGTTAGGCTATATTTATCCAAATGGTAAAAAAAAAAAAAAAAAGACTACAAATAGTTAAATGTTTATTCAGGCAGACGTGATCTCTTAGATATTTAGATATTTTTTTTATTTCTTTGCATTTTGTGTGTGGATTTATTCTTATACATTTTAATAATTTAATCCTATAAAACTAGACAAGGAGATTAGGAGATTAAAAATCTGCAGTGTCCTACCTATCCAGTAGCGGTTTTTGGCACGGGCGAACCGGGCAGCGGCCCGTGGCGGCATTTTTTCATGATACATTGGGGGCCGCACGAGCAGTTAAATTTTTTTTTTTTTAAATCCGTTTTTCTGAATTGTGTGAAATGGCTAATAAAAATAGGTAATACAAAACGATTATGTGGTCACCAAGGTGAATTGGTTTAGTCTTGACTTCTGGTCGTGAGTGACAGTGTTGGCGGGATGGGAAATCTGTTGATTGTCGAGTGCCAAATAAACACAGAGATGGACAGGAAAATGCATAAGTCATCAGGTGCCCAATTTATTACGGTATCCATGCCATGAATGAAGGGCTAATTAAATTGGTGGGTATAACTCTTAAGTTTGTTAGCCTTTTTGCTATGATGCTTGCTATGCTTATACAACAATAATTCTGTTTTAACTCAACAAACACGAGATCTAATTTCACCATAATATTGTGCTTTGCAACAAAACTGTTATAAGTTCAGTTATTATTTATTTCCATCAGTTGGGTTAACGTTAGGCCCTGTAATTAGCCAACGGAATCTTCAAATCTGTGTAATTATAATTTAAATCGGACTACTTTTCAAATTGTGTTTCATAAACCAACATCTTAGACATTATGTCAAAACGTTATGGGGTTTCAAATCAAAAAATGACTTTCTGTTACAGAACAGGCCATTGATTTCATACATGTCCACTGTAGAGGACATCGGGACTTAAATCATGTTTATCAGGCATTTTGGGAGACACAACAAGTGAATATGGAAATAAATTATACATCAATATTCCTATGAAATATTAGATATTATTATTAAAATGTTGCCCATTATTACACTTCTTTTTTCATTAAATGTTGCTCCAAGAACACATTATTACGCAAATTAGATACAGTGTATAGTGTATATTTATTTAAGTTCTGATAACTTATACGGTCATATTTTGTGCAGAATTGTGTTCATTGTCTCTTGGCAATGTTGGAGGTGGAGATTGTGCACCTTAAAAAGTGTGCTTCCTGTTGTAATTGCAATAGTTAAATAACTGGATTCTCTTAAGTGTGTTTT